TAATTTAAGGTGTAATTCCAATAATTAATTTTAATTCTACTAGTTCTTAGATTATTCATTTTGGATCACTGAGAGTTGATTAAACATAATATATAATGTAAAATATCATATATGTAACCTGATATGATGTCTGATAAATTTAGACTATAAATCATATTATATATTGTTTACATACATACATACATCACTAGTTACATTTCTGCATGGATATATACCAAAATTTTTGAAAAATGACATTTATAACTCCTTATACAAATAATGATTGTTTGGAAAATAAATTATGTCCTTGTTCATAATTTCAACCATTCCTGCTAGTCTTATATAGACATACGTAAATATTAATTCATTGATTTCCCTCAAAGCAACAACTATTTTTTCATGGCTCAGAAGCATAAGGGAACTCATGGGAATCCCATATAATCACCTGGTATAATCATTCTGAAAGAGATCCTTGGGAACTAAGTAGCATTCCATCAAGTAAATTTCACTGTACCCAAATTACCAGGATTGATTTGTTATAATTCAGCACAGTAAGTGCATCAGTCAGTTTTGTATTACTATAATGACATACTTCAGACAACTAATTTATAAAGAGCAAAGTTTCAGACAACTAATTTATAAAGAGCAAAGTTTTATCTTGATTCACAGTTCTGGAGGTTCTAGCCCATAGTCAGGAAGCCCCATTTTCTTTGGGCTGCCAATGAAGGCAGCACATGAGAAAACAAACTGAAGGCAGAACATGAGAAAACGAACTGCTAAAATGAGCAAAGAGAGACAGAAAGAGAGGAAGATACCGGAGACACACAATCTCTTCAAGGCATACCCCCAGTGATCTAAGGATCTCCCACAAAATCTCACCCCCTAAGGGTTTCACCACCTGATAGTACTATCCACGGGAGTAACCTTTTAAGAAAAGAACATTTGGGGGACTCTTGCCCAAACCACTAAACATTAACAGTTCCTTTCAAGCAAATTTCTATTGCCACCAATCCTCTACTATGCATTCTGTAAATTCAGACGTCTCTCAACTACAACAAGAAATGATATCCCAGAAGTAATGTCTTTTTTGAGAGGGTTCTAACTAGTTATACATGACAGTAAAATGCATTTTGACACATCATACATAGATGGAGTATAACTTCTCATTCTTCTGATTGTACGTGATGTGGAGTTACACTGGTCATGTAATCATATATGCACATAGAGTAATAATGTCCAATTCATTCTACTATTCTTCCTACCTCATATCCCCTCCCCTCCCTTCACTTAACTCTGTCTAATCCAATGCATCTCTATTCTTATCTAGCCCTCCCCATCCCCTTTCCCTGCTATTGTGAATTAGAATCTATATATCTGAGGAAAAAATTGCCTTTGGTTCTTTAGAATCATATAATCATCACAACAGATGCAGAAAAAAACACTTGAAAAAATACAGCACTCCTTCGGTAGAAAAAATAGGAACAGTAGGAATATACCTCAACATTGTTAAAGCTATCTATGCTAAGTTCAAGGCCAACATCATTCTAAATGGAGAAAAATTGAAAACATTTCCTCTAAAAACTGGAAGAAGACAGAGATGCCCTCTTTCACCACTTCTATTCAACATAGTCCTTGAAACTCTAGCTAGAGCAATTAAACAGATGAAATAAATTAAAAGGATACAAAAAAGAAAAGAAGAACTCCAACTATATTACTATTTGCCCAAAACACAATTCTATACTTAGAATATCCAAAAATTCCACCAGAAAACTTCTAGAATTAATAAATGGGACTGGCTTATTTCACTTAACATGATTTACTCCAGTTCCATCCATTTACTGACAAATAACATAATTTAATTCTTCATTAAAGCTGAGTAATATTCTATTATGTATATATACCACAACTTTTTTATCCATTCATGTGTTGAGGAATACCTAGTTTGGTTCCATGGTTTAGCTATTTTGAATTGAGCTGCTATAAACATTGATGTGGCTGTGTCACTAAAGTATGCTGATTTTATATCCTTTGAGTCTACACTGATGAGTGGGATAACTGGATCAAATGGTGATTCCATTCCAAGTTTTCTGAGGAATCTCCATACTGCTTTTCATAGTGGTTGCACCAATTTTTAGTTCCACCTGCAATGTATGAGTGCAGCATTTTTTCCACATCCTCACCAACATTTATTGTTGCTTATATTCTTGATAATTGTCCCTCTGACTGGAGTGAGATGGAATCTTAGTATAGTTTTGATTTGCATTTCTCTAATTCCAAACAATAATTTCTAACAAGATTTCTACACTGTCTGCAAGACAAAATTGAGGGCGGCTCATTGCCTTTTCTGACCTCAGCTATCCGGCAAGTAAATGAAACTAAATAATTGGTAGTTTTAGTATATAAAATATAATTACAAGAAAAGCTGTGCTTAAGTTTCTGCTGGTAAGGGAACAGAAACAAATGAGGAAAATGCCACTGGAAACTGAAGGAAAGCTGACTCTTGTCACATAGAGAAGACGACGTGGCTTGACTATGTCCTACGATTGGACAGAGGGCAAAATTATTAAGTGATTGTTTTAATCAGATTTTCACTGTTGTTACCAAAAGACACAGCAAGAACAATATAGAGGAAGAAAAGTTATTTGGAGCTCACAGTTTCAGAGGTCTCAATCCTTAGATGGCTAACTCCATTCCTTGGGGTCTGAGGTGAGGCAGAGCAGCATGGTGGAAGTGTGTAGTAGAAGAAAGCAGCTAGGAACATGGCACCAGGAATCAGAGAGACAGATTCCTATCACCACAGGCTCTCTCTCTCTCTTTCTCTCTCTCTCTCTCTCTCTCTCTCCATATATATATATATATATATATATATATATATATATATATCTCAAAGGTATGCCCCTAATTACCCAACTCCTTCAGCCACTTCCTACCTGCCTAGAGCTACCACCTAGTTAATCCAATCAGAAAAATCAATGCACTGATTAGGTTAAGGTCACATAACCTGAGCATTTCACCTTTAACCCTACTTTCATTGTCTTACACATGACCTTTGGGGAGACACCTAACAACAAAAACATAATGTGGTAAATTTGATCATTTAATTAAGAAGAAATACAAGCAAAGTATTGAAAAGTGTGGCTGGGTTTTTTTCTTTTTGTACATAGTAAAATGCAAGAAGGAGATAAATGGAGAAATGTTAAGCAAAAAGGAACCAGAATTTGAAAAATTCTCAACCTATTCATACTTCCAAAGACACTAAAATTAAATTCATTGTCAGGAAAGCATGCTCTGGTGAGAGACTGAATGTGAGGTAGGCAAGCATTGACTGAAGAGATTAGGTGTATAGCTAATAGATCCCACAACCATCTCAGTAGAAGTTAGGAAAAGAGAGGAAATCACCTAAGAACAATCTATAAATGACTCTCCTGTCTTATTGTATGAATCCCTTGACATACACAGAGAAGTTAAAGGTTTTTAAAAATATTATATCAATAGAAGTTTTGCAATTCAACTGACAGGGAGAAAAATAACAAAAAATCAAAAGAAAAGGTTTAGGCTTCCAAATTTCCATAAGAAGGAAAAGGGTAATATTGTTATGTGACTGCAAACATCCCTTGCTTCAGGAAAAAGAAACAATGACACAGGGAAATGAGACACCCATACAGAGTTCAACAGAGAACTCTAAAACTACAGGCAGAACCTGAAGGTAGGAGCATAAAAGCAGAGACCTGCCAAGCCACCAAATTTGGATGCAAAGGCTTACAGAACTGCTTCTTGGGCAGAGCCCATAGAGCTCTCTCAATTGCAGAGGCCCAGCAAGCAAATACATGGGCCCAGAAAGGAGACCACCAAGCCAACGGTTATCCCCAGGCCTTGAAATCTAAATGAATTTTTTCTGCTGGGTTCTGATCTTGCCTGGAATTAATTACCACTCTATTCCTTCCATTTTATCCCTTTTGGAATGAGAATGTTTGTGACTTGTCACATCCCTTTTACAACATTATATCTTCTAATTTCACAGGTCCAACGACAGAAAGGAATTTTGCCCCAAGATTTATTATATTCAAAGTCTCACCAGTATCTGATTTAGATGATTAGAGCATTTGAACTGATTATATTTAGATAAAATTTTGGACATAGAGTTGGACATTTAATAGGTTGAAACTCTGGAAGATTTTGGAATGGAGTGAATATGTTTTGTGTATGGGGAAAATGTAAATTTTGAGTATAGTACAGTGAACTAAGTGGTGGCCCCCAAAAGATGCCTTTTCTGTAGAACCTATGAATGGTCCCTTAGTTGGAAAAGGAACATTTAGGTTTTTTTTCCCCCCTATAGATGCAATTAACTCAAGAATATTGACACAAGGAGATTACTCTGGATTATCTAGGTGAGCTTTAAAACCAATGATAAGCATACTTATAAATTTTGTATAGAGGAGAGGTAGAGGATAAAGCAATATGATCACAGAGATAGAAATGGGAAAGAAATTGCCACAAGCCAAGGAATATCTAGAACCATCAAAAGTTGGAAGAGATGAGAAATAAATTTCTAGACTCTTCAGAGGAAGTATACTCTGCCAACATAAAGGCTTTGGATTCTTGTATTCAGAACTGTGAGACAATAAACTTCTGTTATTTGAAGGTATCAATTTTGTGGTTATAAATTACAACAGCCCTACAAATGATATAGTCTTTAGGAGCTTGGGGAGAGCAAGCCCCATATTCTGAGTCATATGCTCTGCTATAGTTTAAATATTAAATTTAAGATTTAAATTTTAACCAGAGTTTAGTGTGTTAAGACTTGATTCCCAGGTTAGTACTACTAGAATTTCTCAGAAATATTAAAATCTAGTTGAAGACATCAATAATAAATCTGGGCGCCAGCGCGCTTCGACGTGCCCTGGAACTTACCCTCCCTGAGAGACCAGGCTGCAGGGACGCGCCGGCCGAGGCGGCCCAGTGAACCCTCTCCAGGCTCGCCTAGGTGTTCCGCGCCCACCGTGCTGGCTGAGGAAGGGGTCTTCCGCCGCAAGGCCGCGGGGCCCTCCATTTAAATGTAATGCTGGATATTTATATCTCCTTTTAAGTAACATACTATATTAATGCAGCAAGTCCTAAAGCCATGATGTGGCATGCCATCCTTTTTGAGAGGTGAATAATATTGAATAAAAATGGCTGACAGAAGTGGGAAGATGGTTCCAGGACAAGTGTATATTGAAGTGGAATATGATTATGAATATGAAGCCAAGGACAGAAAGATTGTGATAAAACAAGGGGAGCGGTACGTCTTGGTGAAAAAGACCAATGATGACTGGTGGCAAGTTAAACCAGATGAGAATTCTAAAGCCTTTTACGTGCCAGCCCAATATGTTAAGGAGGTCACCCGCAAAGCTCTAATGCCTCCTATTAAGCAGGCAGTTGGACTGCCAAATAATTCTATGAAAAGGATGCAGAGTCTACATCTTCAGAGATCGACAGAAAATGTGAACAAATTGCCTGAGCTTTCAAGTTTGGGGAAGCCATTGTGGTCTGTTCAAGGAACAGGTCTTATTCGTGATGCCAATCAGAATTTGGACCCAATTATAATCCAGGTCCAACTCTCAATCTAAGTCTGAACCTGACCCATAATAATGGAAAGTTTAACAGTGACTCACATTCTCCTAAAGTTTGTAGCCAAAACAGGACGCGCTTATTTGGTCACTTTCCTGGTCCAGAGTTCTTGGACATTGAGAAAACTAGCTTCTCCCAGGAACAGTCTTGTGATTCAGCAGGAGAAGGCTCGGAAAGAATCCATCAAGATTCTGAATCTGGAGATGAGCTTAGCAGCAGCTCCACTGAACAGATAAGGGCAACTACACCTCCAAATCCAGGAAGGCCAGACTCTCCTGTGTATGCTAACCTAAAGAATTGAAAATATCCCAGTCTGCTGTCCCCCCACTTCCTGGGAGCCCAGCAATTCAGATTAATGGAGAATGGGAAACTCATAAAGATAGTTCAGGGCGTTGTTACTACTATAACCGAGGAACACAGGAAAGAACTTGGAAGCCACCCCGCTGGACTTGGGATGCAAACATAAGCAAAGCTTTCCAAAGTCCAGGAGATCAAGAGCTTCTTTCATCAGAAGAAAACTACCACAGCACTTGTTACAGCCAGTCATATAGTCAGTGTGGTTCTCCTCCAAGGGGTTGGTCAGAAGAGTTGGATGAACGTGAGCATACCTCATATACCAGTGACTATACTAATGAAAAGTGGCTCAAGCATGTTGACGATCAAGGTAGACAGTATTACTACAGTGCGAATGGATCTCGGTCGGAATGGGAATTAGCAAAATACAATCCTTCAGCCCAGCAGCAAAGAGAAATAATTAAAAGTAGGAGCTTGGACAGGCGGCTGCAAGAACCAATAGTATTAACAAAATGGAGACATAGCACCATTGTATTGGACACCAATGACAAGGGTCAAGAGAAATATGGATTATTAAATGTAACAAAAATTACTGAACATGGGAAAAAGGTTTGAAAGAACTGGTTGTCTTCTTGGGCACTATTGCAGGGTTCATCTTTACTTTTTACCAAAACTCAAGGAAGTAGCACAAGTTGGTTTGGGAGTAATCAGCCCAAACCAGAGTTCACAGTGGATCTCAGAGGGGCAACCATTGAGATGGCATCAAAGGATAAATCAAGCAAAAAGAATGTATTTGAGCTGAAAACTCGTCAAGGAACAGAATTGCTAATTCAATCTGATAATGATGCTGTTATTAATGATTGGTTTAAAGTTCTTAGTAGTACTATCAGTAATCAGGCAGTAGAAACTGATGAAAGAATTGAAGAGGAGGTACCAGATTCACCAGTAATAGAAAAGCCGGATAAAGAAAAAGACCAGAAGGATCTTAAAAAACTTCGTTCCATGAAAGTATCTAGCATAGATTCTTCAGAACAGGAAAAAAAAAAAAACAAGAAGAATTTAAAGAAGTTTCTTACACGACTCCCCACTTTGCAAGCTGTTCGTGAAAAAGGTTATATTAAAGATCAGGTGTTTGGATCCAATCTTGCTAATCTGTGTCAGAGAGAGAATGGAACAGTGCCAAAGTTTGTGAACTTACGTATTGAACATGTTGAAGAACACGGTTTGGATGTTGACGGAATCTACAGAGTGAGTGGCAACCTTGCAGTGGTCCAGAAGCTGAGATTTGCAGTCAATCATGATGAGAAATTGGACTTGAATGATAGTAAATGGGAAGACATTCATGTTATCACTGGAGCACTCAAAATGTTTTTTCGAGAATTACCAGAACCTCTTTTTACATTTAATCATTTTAATGATTTTGTTAATGCAATTAAACAAGAACCAAGACAGCGTGTTGCTGCTGTTAAGGACCTGATCAGACAGTTGCCAAAGCCAAATCAAGATACAATGCAGATTCTTTTTAGACACCTCAAAAGAGTTATAGAAAACGGAGAAAAAAACCGGATGACCGATCAAAGTATAGCAATTGTTTTTGGTCCCACTCTGTTAAAGCCAGAGAAAGAGACTGGTAATACAGCAGTTAATACTGTGTACCAAAATCAGATTGTAGAATTAATTCTTCTAGAATTAAATTCCATCTTTGGACGTTGATTCTTTGGAAGACAACCTGGGGAATAGAAGCTGGATTCCATCAAATTTCACATCTTTATATACAATGTATTTTATTTTTGGACCAAGCAGTGACTCTTTGATTTTGCACTTTTTTGAGGGATCAGAAGGGAAGTGGTAGAGAGAAGATGCCTGTTAGGCCCTCATGTTTGCTGCTTTGTTGCAAGGTGATATAACTGTGTGTAATTTTTGATTCATTTTATCTTGATTGTTTGCATTTAATACTCTGAATTTTAGTAAAAATGAAAACGTAGAATAACCAGTCAAATACACTGGATAATTTGATAAGAAAAACTACATTTTTCCCCCTCAAACTGGATAATGTAGAATTTCTTCTCATGACCTTAAGTTCTTGACTTGATAGAATAATACTTACTAGGGAGTTATTTTAAAGACACTCTTGGGCATTTAAAACAAAATGAAGTATATCCATTTTGAAAACTGTGTGTTTCTTTTTCAGGGTTTCTGCATGCAGTGGCAGTCTAAATATTAAAATTAATTATAACCCAGATATAATCCCTCCATGAAGGCTTGCTGTCTTTTCCTGTGTTGCACAGCATCCTTACTGGATATCTTAGTTACTTGTTTGGCAGCACACTAATATTGCTTAAAACACTGTGATATACTGGAGTTTCATTTAGCATAAGTCAGTTCAGGGTATTTTGGACTGCCTCACCATACTGAATTGTAGCTAACAATCCTAATTATATCTAGTGCCATATTGAATTCTTGGTATGACCCTGTGGAAACAGACATTATTTGATGTAAATATAGGCCAAAGATTTAATGTCTTAGCTTATGTATATAATTGTGTTGTATAGTCTCAGAATACATGCTAACCCTACATTTGTAATCATGATATAGGTAATCTTTTCTGTGAATATTAGGTTTCCTCCAGAAGGAGACCATTATTTGGGAATGACAACTGTGTGCACTTTTAGATCTTAATAACATTTACAGGCAGATCACTGTAATGTGAATGGTACTGGAAAAATACTGAAAAGACTTGCTAAATGGTAAATGCACTACAAGAGGATCCTTTTAGTTTATTTAATATGTACAGACTACATTAGAAAAATTTATTACAGAATTCTAACTCTCCAGTTTGAATAGTGGAAATTCATGTGTAAATTAGATGAATCTTGGTTGGAAAATAACATTGCTAAATTTGAGAATTTCTTTTTACATTACTAATGTAATTGATTTGTATAATAAAACAGGGTTTGGAAGGTCTTGTTACAGGGAGCATGGTCTGTTGAAAATTTTTTTAAATGTATTTTTCTAGATTAACTGCTGTATATGAAATGTCTAATAAAGAAAACTCTAAGAGGTTTAGAGATTTTTCCATTGGAAATGTGCATTTCAGTTCTTAATTTTTTGGTTTTTTTTTTTCTTTTGCTGACATACTCCTATACCTCATTTAAAAAAAAAATCAACTGAATCCAATATTTCCTGTGGCAAATATATTTTTCTCATTTCATACCTTTCTATTCCTTACCATACCAGCACGTCCCCTTTCCCAACATATGCTTTTTTATTTTTCGTCGTCATTATTTGAAAGTGGATCATTTGTAACCAAGATTCTTTTTCCTAGGATTGCATTTACAATTTACAGATTGCCTTCCTTGGGAACAAAAAAAAAATTTTTTTGTATGATCTGTCTAAAAACCTCTCCCGAGTCATGTGATAAAAATATTGTGTTTGTTTTTGTGATCTTGTTAAATGGATAACAAGGCAGATTGTTTGGGGTGGGAAGAAAAAAATCCCAAGTCAGAATGTTTATATTTGCTTACAGATGTTGTTTGCTGGAGTACGGCTGGCAAAATAACCGGGGGGGGGGGGGGTGACGAACAACTTGTGTACGTTGATACAGCGGGAGTGGGAGCCCTTTATTGCAGGACAGGAGCAGTATTTATACATTCCACACAGCTTATCTAATTAGCATAAACTAGATACATCAGTCAACCAATAAGGAATCTCCACACTTAATGGCTCGCTTTTGTTACTTCTCAAACAACTCCCTCTGGCATTTTGCCAGGCACCATCCAGACTTGTTTATGAACTCTAACATTCCCCTGGCAAAATGCCAGGTGTTATTTTGACTTGTTTACAGACTCTAACAGTTGTTAACAACACAGTGTGCTTTAGGACTGGCTTATATCTTGTTTGTATATCAGAAAAACAATTAGATGCAAATCTGTGATCTGTGATATTCTTTCTTTTCAGTGGTCATGAACATATCAAAGGTTAAAATGTCCTGTTTCTTGTTTCAGAGTATGTATGTGTATGTGAAGTCTTAAATGTTTTAATAGTCTACAGCTAATCATTTTATTGTGATATGTACAATGAGATCAGTGTCTTGTGTTTTCATCCTTTGTGAATTAAAAATTCTCAGTTGTTTTTCTAATAACAAATCTAGTAATAAATAATAATAAATCTGCTGAGGAAAAATTCAGGAAAACAAGCTATAATGGTTAATTTGCATTACTGACTTGATGGAATTAAGAGATGCTGAAGATTAAAATGCTTCTGGGTATGTCCATAAGGGTGTGTCTAGGAATGATTTGCATGTGGGATAGTAAACTATTCCCTTTACAGGTATGCCCTTAACCACCTGTAAAGGGAATAGTGGAACCCTCGCCCTTTTATCTTCCTGTCCCACTTCCTGGACATCAGGTGAGTGGTTTTGCTCCATCTACCATGTTATGCCACTTAGCCACCAGCTCATAAGAAAATTAGCCAACAAATCAAAACGTGAGGCCAAAATGTGAGCCAAAACAAACTGTTTTTAATTTGATTATTTCAGAAATGTGTTAGAGTGACAAAAAACTGATCAATACACACTCACAGTAGAGCTTCTTTCACACTGCGTACAGGAATAGGGAAGGGAGGGAGACCCATCATGACAGAGTGGCTACATGCTCTTAAGGTAGGATTACGGTAAGATTCTATAGAGTATTTTGGGTAAATAATTTGCTTAACTAGTGTGTGCCTTTAGGATACCTTTCACATACTTTAAATGTGTTCCTTTTTTTCATAATTATCATCAGTGATGACTGTTATGAGGAGGAGCTGGTCTAGTGAGGCTTCTCACTGAGATTCCTAAAGTGAACCTCCCCAAGCCTAGATTTATTGATCCCTGCCTAAAGCTGATGAAAAAAAAAAAAAAAAAAAACCCCACAAAATGTGAAGTAGCTTACTTAAAATAATCATGTCATCATCAGCACGAGGTCTTATTTACCGAGATACTTTGAGAAAACTAAACGCCATGCTAGTCTATTTAGAAAATATATAATTCCACTTCTCAAACTCATGCTACAAGGATATAAAAGTGTGAAGTGCTTAATGTGAATTAATCTTCTGCAGGCTTGTCAGTGTTATATTCAAATAAAGGGATCTTCGGTCCTCACTCTCTTCAAAGAAAAATCCCTCCTATTATTTCAGCATGTGCAAAACAGATTTTTTTTCAGAAGGAAAAAAAAAACTCTACCTTTTTATAGTCTTCATAAGTATAGAAGTTGGATAATATTCCATCAGGACTAAAACATCTCAGGATTTTAAATTTTGATAACCCCAACCAGATTTAAAAAAAAAAAATCAACACTGCCCTCTGATTGATTTTACCTAAGTAATGCACTATGTTTCCAATTACCCACCCAGTATTCTTGCCTTTTAGATACTTTCAGGAGTGTTAATATTTTATTGTCTTTTTCCAGATTCTGTACAGTGCACTACAGATTTGATTGATATTCCAGAAAACTATACTACGAGACGTGCTAGCTATTCATTAATTCAGTTTCTATGATCAGAATTCTGCTCTCAGAATCAATTCAGATCTTCAAAATGTACAAGCATGAAATATACTTTAAATATTAGATTTCTTAATATTATATTCCCTTTGCTTTTACTAATGGTAATGATGAAATACAAACCTATTGAGGGCTGGGGTTGTGGCTGAGTGGTAGAGCGCTTGCCCAGAGTGTGTGAGGCACTGGGTTCGATCCTCAGAACCACATAAAAATAAATAAATAAAATAAAGACTTATCAACAACTAAAAAAAAATTTAAAAGAAACCTGTTAAATACCTTTGCTTTTTTTGTAATATCCATTAGCTATTCCACGATGCAATGTCTCCTTTTCATTGCTATAAGGCTATCATCTTTATGTAACAATAAATTCTGGTAGACTTCTAGACATTAGGTAGTTTATGAGCCTTCTTAACCACACTCCTTAATATTTACTTACATCATAAAGTGGTTAAGATTTATTAATAGCTGAAAATCATTCTGAATTTGAACAGTGTCACAGAAAGTTAATTATTAATAATTTATATGAAGAAATGTAAGATACTGTGAAAGAAAATTGAACTCTTTCCAGGACCAGGTACATTTAAAAATGCTAATGCATACATGCTGATAAAGTCTAAATTATTCTAATCTATAAAAATTATACTTTTTCCTCCAGTAAAATGTTTTGTTATTAAAAAAAATGAGTTACTAGTAGATATTTATTGGTTCAAAATGAGATTCAATACACAGGTTCAGCCATTCTTAAGTTTTGAAATAGAAATAGTTTAAAATGATCAATTAATAGTTATTCTTAATTAATAAATGAATAACATATCAATTATTTGGAAGCATAAAACCTAAAACATTCTAACAGTAAACAATAATAATAATTAAATAAGAATTAAAACATTATCATAAAATATATTTTAACAACTAATATTTCTAACAACTATTAATAAATAGGATTAGAAAATAATGGTGATATCACAATTGCCTTTTAGATAACATGCTGGTGAATTTCTATCTAACATCTCTATGTGCTCTTTTCCTGAATAAATGATCTGTGAAAAATTATCTCTTATTTTTCTTGTTTTCTGACATTAGTAAGATGTGAAAATTCTTGAGAAGGAAAAATTTAAGCCCCATATCTCTTTTGCATTACCCTATGTAATTCAGGTTATACAAGGATAATCTGGGCTAGATAGAGCAGTCTGTGCCACTTCTTCTTAAGGATCTAAACATACAAAAACACGAAGACATAGAAAACAGTTAAACTTATGATGTGCTGTAAATATTCATAAATAATTTAACTCCTCAGGGACACACACACCTACAAATACCAAGATTATATGCATACCATCATTTGGAAAGAAAGTTGAAAGTCTAAATTTGAAGACCTAGTAAAAGTTAGACTGGAACCAAATGACGTTCCAAATTGACCTGTGAGAAGCAATCCCAGACTGAGCAAGTGGAATTTACAAGGTCCCTAGGTTAAGACTGCAAAAACACACAAAATGGAGTAAAAAAAAATTGTCAGCTGCATGTAGGAAAATAAATGTTCATCTATTTTTCAGATTTGATCATTGACAAAGAAATATTTTATAACTGCTCATCAGTGTGCCTTGTTTGTAATCTTTATGAGTAAATCATTTAAAAAGATCACTTATTAAAAATTACATTCTTGGTTATATCTTGCTATTTTTTTTATTGTGAAAGATATCACCACAAATTTATAGGACATCCAAGCACAGAAATAATGAAGATTTAAGTGTATGTAACCTAACTGGAATAGTATGTTAATCAGATTTACTTTATGAATGAATAATATGTTCTTGAAAATCTAAAGAATGACTATAAGAAAAGAAAATAACTATAAGAATCAGGAGGCAAAATATGAGGACAAAACACATATATGGTACAATCCAAATTAAATGACTAATTCTTAACTAGTTTTAGTATAGAAAGTTCTCTGCTTTCATAGTATTATTTTGAAAAGACTCCCTAATAGAGCATATTTCTTTATGTTCTTAACAAAAAATTACTCATTTATAATTATATATATACCTACATATATTCTCATATGTATTCTCATGTGTACAAATGAAATATATACATATATATATATATATATATATAGAGAGAGAGAGAGAGAGAGAGAGAGAGCTGTTATACAATTAGAAAATAATTGCAAGTAAATTTTCATTTATACATTTAATGCTTTCAAATTATGTTTATGTAATAAGCTTTTCTACTATGAAATGTGCAAATGTAGGCTTAATTTGGGAGAATCAAATTGTTATTCAATGCAAAGGAAAATTAGACATTGAAGAAATTTTCAATTGTATAAATGAGAAAATGATATTTCAGGCAAATTTGCCTACTTTAATGCTAAATTTTAAAGTTTTTTAGAATTAATACTCTTGATATAATATTAAGTTCCAACAGCACCCTATATTAGAAACACTGAAAGAAGTAAAAAATAAATGAAGTCATGCTCTGATTTCATTTTTATATTTTTTGGTGAAATTTGAACTTCGTTTATTAGAAGTAATAAGATAACAACAA